GTAGAAGTTAACCATTCGGCCTAGTGCAGGGGCTCACACCTGTAATGTGAGCACTTTGGGTGGCCAAGGTGAGCAGATCACTTGAAGTAAGGAGTTCGAGACCAGCCTGGCCAACATGGTGAAACCCCATCTCTCCTAAAAATACAAAATTAGCTGGGCGTGCTTGTGCATGCTCATAATCCCAGCTACTTGGGAGGCTGAGGCATGAAAATAGCTTGAACCTGGGAGGCAGAGGTTGCAGTGAGCCAAGATCGTGCCACTGCATTCCAGCCTGGGCAACAGAGCAAGACTCTGTCTCAAAGAAAAAAAAAAAGCTAACCATTCACCGTGTTCCTCATAATTGGTTTTGTGTTTTGATTACCAGCTATTTATTTTTTCAAAGGGCTTTTTTTTTTTTTTTTAAGAAATTGAAAAGACTAAGATACATGTAGAATGAGTGTTTTTTCCTTTCTTTTCTTTCTTTCTTTTTTTTTTTTGGAGTCAGTTTTACTCTGTCACCAAGGCTGGAGTGCAGTGGCACAATCTCAGCTCACTGCAGCCTCGACCTCTTGTAGCTGAGACTTTGGGCAGGTGCCACCACTCCTGGTTAATTTTTTTGTAATTTTTTGTGGAGACTGGGTTTTGCAGTATTGCCCAGGCTGGTCTTAATCTCCTGAGCTCAAGCCATCCTCCCACCTTGTCCTCCCAGAGTGCTAGGATTATAGGTATGAGCCACCATCCCCAGCCTGAATTTTTTTTTTTTTAAGTAGAAATGGTATAAAGATACTTTATCTAAATATTAATTTTTCTATGTTGGTACTTTGGATACTTATTTTATTCTATTATATTAGCAATATATAATTTAACAGTGTGTTATGTTTATTTGAGGGTTAATAGGTTTTTTTGGTGTATATTTTAATTCATTTAGAAATGCTTTTTTAAAAAGGTGAAAATATGATAGGATAGATTTGACAGCCACAGCCTGAAAGGTGTGTTTATAAAGCTGAAATTTCATCATGAGAAATTTTACAGTAATGAAGATCTTACATGGTCACATACCACATAATGATGTTTAGGTCAATGATAGACTGCATTATATAATGGTGGTCCTGTAAGATTATAATGGACTGAAAATTCCTATTACGTAGTGATTTGTGTTATAATTGCCTGCAATATTCAGTACAGCAACATGCTATACAGGTTTATAGCCTATGATCAATAGGCTATACCATATAGTTTGGATGTGTAGTAGGCAATACCATCTAGGTTTGTGTAAGTACTATAGACTCTATGATGTTTTCACAGCTACAAAATCATCTAATGATACACTTGTCAGAGCTTATCCCTGTTGTTAAGTAATGTGTGACCATGTAACAAAATATGCTTAGCTGATAGCACGTAAATTCCAGTGTAATAGAATTGGGATCAGTTCTTTTTTTTTTTTTTTTTTTTTTTTTTTTTTTTTTTAAGTGGAGTCTCCCTCTGTTGCCTACGCTGGAGTGCAGTGGTGCGATCTCAGCTCACTGCAGCTCCACCTCCAGGGTTCAAGTGATTATTCTGCTTCAGCCTCCTGAGCAGCTTGGATAACAGGCATGCTCTACCACACCTGGCTAATTTTTGTATTTTTGATAGAGACCGGATTTCACCATGTTGGCCAGGCTGTTCTAGAACTACTGACCTCAAGTGATCCACCTGCCTCAGCCTCCGAAAGTGCTGGAATTATAGGTGTGAGCCACCGTGCCTGGCCTAGCATTTTTAAAAATGGGATTTATTCCAGAGTTAAAAATAAACATTGTTTAGTAGTTTCTATGTGCCAGACACTGAGATGTGTTTTACATATATCTCATTTAATCTTCACTATAATCCTATGGCATTAAGCCTTTTTATTTTACATGTAAATGGTGAATATATGTATAAAAAGCAGTAAAGCAAGGTACTAGGTTAACTAACTTGTCCAACGTCATATGGGTAATAAATGATTTAGTCAGAATTTGAACTTCTTCACCATGTTTCAGTCTTCATGGTTACTAAATGTTTAAAATATACAATAGAGTTTTAGAGCTGAGTTAAGCCAGAATCTTTCAGTTGAACTATGAGTCTGAAATCTAGAATTGAAAATGACTTGGCAGGAAGTTGTGGCCCTGCTGGTACTCTAACTTGGTTCTCCTGGTTTCTAGTGTGATACTCTTTAAATGTGCAGATACTACAGTTGTAGTTTGTGAAATTGCTTAATTTTTCTTTTATCAGAAAGTGAAGAGGACTACATCTAGTATATAGCACACCTGTATACATAGTATATGCTCTGTACTAGATCACATGCAGTATTAATATTATTTAACACAGCAACATTACATTAAGGGATATCTATAAATGGGTGAAAGTGAAAATTTCAGATAGTTAAAACACTTAGACCCACATTTCCATTGGTTTCTAATTTTTTTAAAGAAAAAATGTTTTGTGATATAGTTTTTTAGATAAAAACTGTAACCAAAAATTTTAAAAATAGTAATTGTAATTATTTATGTGGACAGTGTCCATAAATGAATGGATTTTATTTGAAGTCAGTTACTTGGAATTCATTTTCCTCCCATACAAATAGCATATTAAATATAAGCATACATGTAATCTGTAGCTGAGTTGGTAGTTGAAGTTGAGAGTCCTTTTTTTTTTTTTTCTGGCTATTTTATTTTATTTTATTTTTTGAGAGACAGAGTCTTGCTGTCTTGCCCAGGATGAAGCGCGGCGTGCAATCTCAGCTCACTGCAATCTGCACCTCCTTGGTTTAAGCAATTCTCCTGCCTCAGCTTCCCACGTAGCTGGGTCTATAGGCATGTGCCACCATACCCAGCTAGTTTTTGTATTTTTTAGTAGAGACGGGTGTTTTTTTTTTTTTTTTTTGAGATGGGGTTTTTTTCTTGTTGCCCAGGCTGGAGTGCAATAGTGCGATCTCAGCTCACTGCAACCTCCACCTCCTGGGTTTAAGTGATTCTCCTGCCTCAGCCTCCCAAGTAGCTGGGATTACAGGTATGTGCCACCATGCCTGGCCGATTCTGTAGGAGGTGGGGTTTCTCCATGTTGGTTGGCCTGATTTTGAACTCCTGACCTCAGATGATCTGCCTGCCTGGGCTTCCCAAAGTGCTGGAATTATAGGCGTGGGCCACCGTGCCCAGCTGAGGCAGGGTTTGACTCTGTGTTGGCCAGGCTGTTTTCAAATTTCTGACCTCAGGTAATCCACCTGCCTCGTCCATCCAAAGTGTTGAGATTACAGGCATGAGCCACTGTGCCTGGCTTTCTGGCTTTCTTAAAGAGTCAGCGTTGAGCTAGGCTTTTGACATCCCCATTACATATCTTTGCTGGATATACCACTTCTCTGGCTGCTGATTTAATCTTTCATAGAATTCCATGCTTTACCAACAAAATTCTGAAGCCAGTAGATACTTATATGATCACTTAAAAACATTATATATGAGTCCATAGGATATGTAATTGTGAATCTTAAAAATATTCTGTGTTCTTGGTATTGGTAAGTTCTTAATGTGAAGCAAGAATTATCATGTATTTTATCTGAAATAAGCATTATATTATTGCTAGCTTAGGGGACAAACTACAGCTATTCAAAAATTGAGCTAAAAAGATTTTTAATAGTCCAACTTTAGAACTAGGGGATAAACACAAGGTTCACTAGCATCTATTGTGATAGTAACTCAGAATATGTGAATTTATAGCAATGACTTTTGAAATTAAGGTAATAATTTTTTTCCTTTGTATTCAGTTTCCATAATTTGTAAACAGAAAAATAGGAAAGCTTGCTTTTGTCAGACCAAGGATAATGTGGAATGCGAAGGTTGAATTAGTCGTGTATTCCACTGTTTTAGATTTCCATTGTTTAATTTTTGACACTTTTGGCTTTATAACTCAGTTTTATAAAAGCTTGTTTACTTTGTAAAATTTATGTTATTGCATGTGCATGGAAATTCAAATAACAAATTCCCAGTTTGAATAAAGCAATTCAAATAGTTTTTTTTTTTAAAGTGTTTATTGGCCAGGTGGTGGCTCACTCCTTTAATCCCAGCCCTTTGGGAGGCCAAGGTGGGCGGATCACGACTTCAGGAGTTTGAGACCAGCCTGACTAACACGGTGAAACTCCATGTCTACTAAAAATACAAAAGTTAGCTGGGCATGGTGGCACACACCTGTAATCCCAGCTACTTAGGAGGCTGAGGCAGGAGAATTGCTTGAATCCGGGAGGCAGAGGTTGTGGTGAGCTGAGATTGCACCACTGCACTCCAGCCTGGGTGACAGAGTAAGACTTTACATCTCAGGAAAACAAAAACCAAAAAAAAAAAAAAAAAAAAGCAACAAAAGTTTATTCTAACAGCATTTTTAAAGCCAAATGAATTACTGACATACTAGATTGTAAACTTCTGAAGTCTAGGACTGTGACTTACTCATTTTTGTTTTCCCCTGAGCTTAGCATGATACCTTGCATACAGAAGTCCATGAGTAGTTATTTTTTGAATGAATTAATCTGTGATGAAATATTTCCAATGAATTTTCTGTTCCCTTTCAGTTGATAAAAAGCCAGAAAGATATAAACTAAATTTATTTAAAATTATTTTTGAAATATGAAGAAAAGATATTTTTGAAATATCTTTTGTATTTTTGAAATATGAAGAAAAGATAACAGTTAAAGATTAATGTCATTCAGCATTTGAAAAGTTAGATTTCCAAAAACAATACGTTGTAAGGTGATTACTCATTTTTACTAAATAATACTTTAAAAAATTATTTGTAATTACTGAATCATCTTCTTCAAGTATTAAGTGCCGAGTATAATCACCATTTATTTATTAAATTTTGGTTTATTCAGGAATGAACCAATTATGTAAAAATGAACTATATGTATATATCAGATACATCAAACAAAAATTGAACTCTGTATAGGAGAAAATATTAAATTAAGTATGTATACATTTAATTTAATGAAGTTTACCCTCATAGTTGTTATCTTTATTTTTTAGGAAGGAAAACAGAAATAACTTGCTGCGTTGTCTGGAGTTACATGGTGAGTTTAGAGATTAAAGTTAGATCCAGTAATTTGTGAATCCCAAGTTTCATGTTTCAATATTTGGTGTTACTTATAGTGACTCATAAAATTGACTGATGTCATATGTCAGTACTTAGGTGACAATTTACAGAAAGTCATCTCTGCAGCTTGATGGGCGACAACCCTTTTCAACCAAAAAGTAAGTGTTGCTGCCACAACTAATACAAGTATGTGTGGCTTTCGTATAACTTTGCTTCAGGAGAAAGGATGAAAGTCGGGAGACATTTTTTTAAAAACAAAAATACTTAAAATTATTAAAGTAACAAATGTTCACAGAAAAACAAGTAATGTAAATAAAAAAGTGAGTAAAATAGAAGTGTTTTTCCCCATTACCAGAAGGAACTATTTTTACCAGTCTGGTATATGTAATCATATATGTTTCTTCTGTTCATAGACAAAAAACAAATTATTTCTAAAAAAATTATAAAGCTATTGTGTCTTAAAAATTCTTTTTCTCAAAAATATATCCTGGATATATAACAATGGCAGTTTTTTTTTTTTTTTTTTTTTTTTTCCCCACAAAAAGGTTAAGGGAGACCTTTGTATACTATATTAGTTGGCTTAGGGCTGCCATAACAAAGTACCACAAACTGCGTGGCTTACACAATGGAAATTTTTCTCATAATTCTTGAGGCTAGAAGTCCAGGATTGAAGTATTGATAGGAATAGTTTCTTCTGAGGGCCGTAGATTGATAGGATTGGTTTCTTCTGAGGGTTCGAGGCCTCTCTTCTTGACTTGTAGATGGCTATCTTCTTATTTTATTTATTTATTTTTTTTGAGGCAGAGTCTCACTGTCACCCAGGCTAGAATGCAGTGGTGTGATCTCAGCTCATTGCAGCCTCCTCCTCCTGGGCTCAAGTGATTCTCCTACCTCAGCTTCCTGAGTAGCTGGGACTGTAGGTGTTCAACACCATGTCCAGCTAATTTTTAAAAATATTTTTAGTAGGGACTGGATTTCACCGTGTTGGCCATGCTGGTCTGGAACTGCTGACCTCAGGTGATCCAGCTGCCTTGGCCTCCCCAAGTGTTGTGATTACAGGCGTGAGCCACCGTGCCCAGCCTCCATTTTCTCCTTATATCTTCACATGGTCTCCTTCCTTGCTTGTGTCTGTGTCCTAATCTCCTCTTCTATTAAGGACACCAGACACATTGGATTAGGGCCCACCCTACTAACCTTATTTTAATTTAATTACTTCTGAGGACCGAATCTCCAAATATAGTCACATTCTGAGGTAGTGAGGGTTAGGACTTCAACGTATGAATTTTGAGAAAACACGGTTCAGCCTGTATAAATGATACTTTTGTTATCAGTATACGGGTCTCCCTAATTGTTTGAAATACGCATTTTCATAATGACTTTACCTAGTCCATAGATTATTAATATGCTGTGTGCCCACTACCCCTCTAATGTGTAGGGGGAAATATATTCCCATCTGACCTTGGACATACAAAACTAAGACACATGAAAAAATAGTGAGCAGTTTGGGCTCATATATGTTAAATCTTGAATTGCACAATATTGGTTGTTAATGTAATTCATATTTTGAAGGAAAGTAAAATCTAATAGTTTACAAGGGGAGTTATAATTGAACCAAGAGTTAGGAGGGGTAGGGAATTAATATTTTGTGAAGTATCCACTTCAATTTAGGTGCTTTATATGGCATTTTCTTGAATCTATGTAATCTATTAGTTAGATATCATACCTGTATTGTAGATGAGGAAAACAGGTTCAAGTAACTTTTCTAGAGTCATATGATTAAAAACAATACAGTAAAGATTTGAATTATTCAATTTGATATAAAGTCTCTGCTCTCTTTGCTCCAGACTGGCGTGTTATAGATTGTATAGCTGAGAAGGAAAGACATTCTGAGTAGAAACAGTGGTATAAATAATGTCTCTGAGACACACAATAAGGCTGGTGTTTCAAGTATTTAAAAACGCAAACACTAAGTTATGACTTGCCAATGAAAATTAATATTTTTAATTATTAGATTTTAAGAACTATGTATAATTAGTAAAATAGTACAGCTTAGAGAAAAAAGGGGTCAGTTCTTGATATTGATGGCATTTAGGAAAATGGGAGGGCCTTTTTTTTTTTTTTGGTAGGTGGGTTATACTAAACATTTAAGTAACATTAGACCAGGAAATGATTTGTGATATTCTTCTTGTGAGAAATATCTACTTTGCCCTTAATGGAATAAGCCTAATTCATTTTCCATATCTCTTATTCTAGCATCTCTTTCCTGCTGTGTTCTGTGCCTGACATTCTTTTTTTTTTTTTTTTTTTTTTCTTTCTCTTGAGATAGAGTCACCCAGGCTGGAATGCAGTGGCGTGATTTTAGCGCACTGCAACCTCTGTCTCCCAGGTTCAAGTGATTCTCCTGACTCAGCCTCCCAAGTAGCCCGGCTAATTTTTGTATTTTTAGTAGAGACAGGGTTTCACCATGTTGGCCAGACTGGTTTTGAACTCCTGACCTCAAGTAATCTGCCCACCTCAGCTTCCCAAACTGCTGGGATTGCAGGTGTGAGCCACCACTCCCATCCTGCCTGGCGTTCTTGAATCTGGTTTAGTTTATCCAATTTATCTCCCACCTGTTTCCTCTTATTCTTAGTTTATCTCCCTTTTGTTAATACATTGTTGAAAAGCCAATGGTTAGATATAATCCTTTTTGTAGTGATAATCATATTCTATGTATATGACTGAAACTCACTTTCACTGGATTTGACTCACTTTCACTGAATTTTCTGTCCACTGTAAATAACTGTCATCCATTATCTGTTTATCTGAGTTTTTCTATTTAATATCTTAGAGAGTAAGCTCTGTGTTTCTCACTGTTGTTACCACATACTTACTACAAATGTCAATTCAGAAATTGCTATTAGGATTATTATAGTACATCTTAAATATTATGTTATATATTACAAAAATGTTTTTATTTTCAAAAATGAGGTTTACTTCTCTCCTTTTGAAAATTAGGTAATTCAAAAATGGCAGAACTGTTTATGGAATGTGAAGAAGAGGAGCTGGAACCATGGCAGAAGAAAGTAAAAGAAGTTGAGGATGATGATGATGATGAGCCAATCTTTGTTGGAGAGATATCAAGTTCAAAACCAGCAATTTCAAGTAAGCATTTACTTTTAGTAAAGCCAAGCTTTATGAGGTATTATTTCTAATGGGAAAACTTGTGAAGTATTTAACAGGTACTTGATGTTCACGTTCCATTGTAAAGAGTTAGGTCTGAGAGATTGGGTGTGAGGCTAGTAAGAACTTGAGAATCAGGATGGGGACGTGACTGGGGATTTGAGGAAGGAGGTAAGAGGTTAAACATCAGATGTCAGAAAAGAGAAATGGACTGAGATTAGCTGGTGACCTTGGAGGTCTTCTGAGATTAGAAATCACAATTTTTAATGGAGTTAAGTAACTTATTTATTTATTTAGAGACAGAGTCTCATTCTGTCCCTAGGCTGGAGCACAGTGGCGCAATCATGGCTCACTGCAGCCTCAACCTCCTTGGTTCAAGTGATCCTCCCACCTCAGCTTCCAGAGTAGCTGGGACTATAGGTGTGTGTTACCATACCTGGCGAATTTTTGTAGAGACAGAGTCTCACAATGCTGCCCAGGCTGCTCTCTAACTCCTGAGCTCAAGTGATCCAGCCTTGGCCTTCCAAACTGTGCTAAGATTACAGGTGTGAGTCACTGTACCTGGCCTTAAGTAATGTATTTATCTGTTTATCCTTTTTCATTTTTCTCACTTAAATCCAGAAGAAGAGAAAATAAAACATTTGGAATGCTTTGCTTAAAATGTCAGAATATACTAAGTGAGTTTTTGTTAGTCCTAAGTGAGACTTCTCACATCCAGGCTTCATTGCAGTGTCATCTATACATGGCTACAAAATGTATAGGTGATAAATGATTGCACAGTCTCTGGCCTGTGTACCAACAGAGGCTGTAGCTTCTGACCATATCCATCTTCCAGCAACTCCTATTTATATTCATGAAAAAGAATGGCATTATCTACAGCCACTGTACTTGGATGGGTTAGCATTTAGTACATTTAAATCCTTAAGGCTTTTGGGCAGAGCAACTTGGTACCTTTGTGGCTGATTAGCTTTAAGTTAGAGAATTGGATTTGACATTGTGATAATGTTAAAGTACAGATACTGATGACATTTGTTAAAATGCCCACTCAAAAATGTATGATAGAGTGCACAGAAATAAAATAAAAATTTCAGAGAAAAAGAGAAAATAGATCTTTTTCCATTTTATTTACTTGTTTGTTTGAAGCCAGGAAAATTTACCAAAGAATGTGATGTACCCATTTTACTAGTCTGTGTGTGTGTGTTTGTGTGTTTACTTACCATGGTAGTGCTTCAAAGTGTCATTAAGAGACTACTTTAAAATTTTCTGAAAGCCTAGCTCTCACTTTGCTTACCTCTAAACTTGGATTGGCACTTTTATTCAGTTTTATTAGAGAGAGAATAATTTCACCAGTTGAATTTTTAATACCATTTTCTGTAGCAGATTGGTCATTTCTCATAGAGTGCTAAGGGGAGTGCTGCTTGGATTATAAAATGAATTAGGCATCATGGCATCTTTGGTGATAGTGAAACATAATATTCTCGTGATTATTTCTTTATACTGAAATATATTGTAAAATTATTCAAACTCTTATTGAAAACATGACAGTTGAGTTTCAAGCTGAATTTATACTGATTGTAGATGACTGTTTATGGTATTCAAGTAGAATAGTGTACATTAGTTTTAAAATAATTCCATCAAGAAGGGGATTGAGTCCAATAGAATTTCTTTTCTACAATATTAAGGTGAATAATTTAAATGGTTTTATTGTTGTCTTATGTGTAAGCCATACAATTGTTAACATATGGAACATGAGTTAAATGTTTATGTAAAACTTCGAGAAAGGAGGACAAAAACTTGTGGTCCATAGACGACAGCTACTAAAAAGTACTACAGCAATAGTTCTTTCATGGTTTGAATAAATATTTAATCCTGAATTTCTGAGTGAAAAACAGTGTGAAGTTCTTTGAGCAGATTTTTCTCTAGTAAGACTTCTGTAGTGTTTAATTACAGAGCACTGCATTGACATTGTCAGAAAACAACCATATTTTTGTGTGAACCATTGTTTTATATAATGACTTAATGGGATCTGGTTTCTTTGTACTGTGAGGAAGATAAAATAAATTTTTATGAGATATGGTGGATTTTTTTTTTTTTTTGGTGCTTTTTACCTTTTTCTAACCAGCAATTTTAGGCAAATCCTTATGCTTCCAAATTATAGTTTGATAAGCTAAAAGTTACAGAGTTTACTTGTATGCAAGAATGAGGAACTTTAAACTGATCCTCAAAGTCATGGCAGGCTCAGATTGACCTCTGGTGTAGTGGTAGATTTGCGACCTCTTAACTAATAATATGCTGTGATAAACTGTTGGTTTACTTTAGACTGCAATCTGTGTTAGTTTTCCTTTTTTAACTCAAAACTAATAGTAGATAATCCAATGAAATTTTCCATAATGGAACTTCAAGGCGTTTAGAGGTGTGAATGCAGTGTAGAATTTGGGCAAAAATTTGATTTTGAATCATAGGAACCTGACTGTATGTACAACCCTGTCATCACTGAAAGAAAAATATATAGTTAAATTATAGGTTGAATATAAATATATTTTTGGAAAACTTTTATTAACTATGTGGACTATTTCTTTGCAAGCACAATGTTTTGACTCACATGTAGTCAGATTTGTCATTCCCTTACTTCTGGCTTTTGAATTTTGAGTTGTAATGAGAAAGATTGTTCTTAGTCTATGAAACAATTAAAGCTAGTTATGTATGCATTTAAAATGAACTCTATTCTTAAATTAGTGATTAGTTATATACTCCTTCCAGAAATCTGTTTACATGTTTTCAATTCATGATTTCTGTTATCTTAACATGTATTTCATTCAAACACTGAATTTTAAAATAAATATAATTTTTTATAGATATTTTGAACAGAGTTAACCCCAGCTCATATTCAAGGGGACTAAAGAATGGTGCACTCAGTCGAGGTACAGTATTATTGTACTATTTTAATTTTAAAGTGAAGTATTTTGACAAAATTGATTATGTACAAATAATTTCAATATATTCTGTTACTTTAAAATACAGGTATTACTGCTGCATTCAAGCCTACAAGTCAACACTACACGAATCCAACATCAAATCCCGTGCCTGCCTCACCAATAAATTTTCATCCTGAGTCTAGATCTTCAGATAGTTCTGTTATTGTTCAGCCTTTTTCTAAACCTGTAAGTGTTTCTAAAACTATACAGCCAGTTCAGGGATCCGTTGGATATTATTTATCAATATCAACAGTACCCAGTTAAACTTCTGGACTGTCATAAGTAGTCATCCAGTAGAAGCATAATTAGTAAAATGTCACCATATTTTTGTAGCTCAAGTACTACCCAAAGTAATAACTGAATGAGCTAACTACCCAACCTGTTAATAAATCAGGCAGTATGCTTAAATAGGTACAATAATGAAAACTGTGCCACCAAAATATGAATAAAATTATAATCAGTAATAAATATTACATAATGGCAAATATTTAAGATTGCAAACTGGGCCAGATATTCTTAATTGGGAAAATAATTAAGAGACCATCATAGCTTTTTATAACATTCCTTCATAGTTCAGTTAACAAAAAAATTTTTTTTCCTGTTACAAAAAACTCCCACTTTTTTTCTGTTACAAAAAGTAATAGAAAATGGTAATAGTTTCCATTCATTGAGCTGTTAATATGTATAAGGCTTTATGCTAAATGCTATAGGTAATTTGATTTCATTTAGTTCTTAAACATCCCCATGAAGTAGACACTATTATTATCCTCATTCTTTAGTTGAGGAAACTGAGGGTCATAGAGATTGAAAGATTCACTCAAGATCCCAAAGCTGGCAGTTGATGGATCTGGATTTCAATCCAGCATAACCCATAGTTTATATGTATATGCACACATACATACATATATGTTGTATATAAATGTACAGTTAGAAATGAAAGAATTGCCTTAGTTGAACAGTTCTGACAATAATTTGCAATCCCCTGGGGTTCCCCAAGACCCTTTTAGAGGTTTGGGAGTCAACAGTGTTGTCATTATAATCAAAGACCATTTTCCACTGTGTTGACATTTGCACTGGTGATGCTAAAGTAATGTGGGTAAGCTGCTGGTGCCTTAGTGTGCATCAAGGTAGTGCCACCAAACTGTACATATAGTTTCTGTATTAGTCACCTGCCATGCATGCACAGTAAACTATATTAGTCAACTGAGTGTTACTTGGTTATACCCAGATTCTTTGATGAAGTATTAAAATGTTAATAGTTTTGTTAACTGTCCACACTTGAATATGTGTCTTTTAAAATATTCTGTGTGATGACATGGGTAGTATACATAAAATACCTTTGTGTTTGAAGTGTGATGGTTGTCTTGAGAAAAAGCACTTGTGTGATTGACTTGTGAGGTAAACAATTTTTTTTTTGGTTGTTGTTAATAGAGCACTATTTTTACTTGAAAGAATGACTGACAAACCATGGTGTATTAGCTATTTATTTATTTCTGTGCATCTATTACCACAAACTTACACAGCTTAAAACAACATACACTCCTTATCTCATGGTCTCACAATTTCTGAATCAGGTCATGGCTTAGGTGGGTTTTTTGCTTTAGGATCTCACAAGACTACATTCAAGATGTGGTCCCTGAAGTTGCAGTTTCATCTGAAATTCTGCTGGGGAAGTGTTTGCTGACAAATTCACGTGGTTGTTGGTAGCATTCAGTTCCTTAAGGTTGGTTGTTGGACGGGGAGTCTCAGTATCTTGTTGGCTTTTGGCTGGCTCCTTGCCAGGTAGGTCTTCCCAATAAGGCTGCTTGCTTCCTCAAAGCTAGCAGGTGAGGGTGAGTCCTTAGCAAGATGCCCTTATAGTCTTAGGTAACATAATTATTTACACAAATATCATATATATCTTGTCACCTTTGTTGTATTCTGTTGGTTAAAAGCAAGTCAGAGGTCCTGCCCGCATTCGAAGGAAGGGAATTACACAGGACGTGAATACCAGACCTGGGGCTTATGGGTAATGACATTTCCATGGAGGTCACTTTAGAGTCTGTCTGCCACACACATTTATTCAATCTTGATTGTTTGGCAAACGTTTCCTCAAACCTGTCACTTGAGCGAAAACAATTGATAGTCGTATTTGTTGCCAATGGTAAAATTTGAACTTTCAAGCAAAAACTCATTTACCACCGTGATCTTGACAGCTTTCGAATACTTCAAGACTTTTCTGATGACTGGTGGTGTTGATAAATAATGATTTTAAAAATATTGTGTAATGAACTATGTCACCATTTGGAAGACCTGTATAAGTCAATGAAACCAATATTTTCCTAATAACTAGTATATATTCTACAAAAGTATTCATGGGTAAATGATCCTAAGATAGACCATTGATTTTAAGGGAACAAGGTGTTCTGGAATATGGTTTCAGATTTCACACTGCAACAGACCTTTTTGAAAGTACCAACTGTTCAGTTTTGGTATAGTATCAAAGTAGTATTTCCACAGTTAATTAAAACCCTATTAAAACACTCCCTCTTACATTCCTAACGAGGCAGGTTTTAGTAATATTCTTCAACCAAAACAACATGTCCTAACCAATTGAAGGCAGAAGCAGATAAGAGACTAAAACAATTTTTGATTAACTAGATATTTAAGAACTTTGCAAAGATATGAAACAATGCCACTCTTCACTATTTTTTGTGTGTTTGCAAGTCATTTTTCATTAAAATGTTATTTATGTTAATCTGTAATGAGTTTGTTATTTAAAAATGAATAAATAAATGTTCTAAAATGTTCTCTGTTTTAATTTCTAGTATTGAAATTATTGATAGATATAACCAACGTAAAAAAAAAAAGTCTTTTTGGGTTCAACAATTTTAAAGTGTGTAAAATAGTTCTGAAGCCAAAGAGTTAGGGCACCACTGTCTCAGAAAAATAGTAGTAAATTTTCCTAAAAATGTATTTTCTTTATATAATAAGAACAATAAGGGAGACTACTCAGTCTCTATCTTGAATCATCTATGATTTAAGGTTCCACAGGCTGTTTCTGATGTTTTAAAAAATGTAATACGTGGCCAGGCGTGGTGGCTCATACCCGTAGTCCCAGCACTTTGGGAGGCTGAGGCGGGTGGATCACCTGAGGTATCAAGAGTTCAAGACCAGCCTGGCTAACAGGGCAAAACCCCGTCTCTACTAATAATACAAAAATTACTTGGGCGTGGTGGCGTGTACCTGTAATCCCAGCTACTCGTGAGGCTGAGGCAGGAGAATCACTTGAACCTGGAAGGCGGAGGTTGCAGTGAGCCAAGATCACGCCACTGTACTTTAGCCTGGGTGACAGAATGAGACTCTGTCTCAAAAAAAAAAAAAAAAATGTAACAGGTGTTCCTGAAGATAACTGGAAAGCTATCCAGAGTGTAACAATTCTTTGCTATTAGTTGGAATCAAATTAACTCAGTGGTTTTCGCATGCATATTATAAGCTGTTTGGCATTTGAGAGAAAAAAATTGGAAAAAGAACATTATTTGATAGTTTGTTAGGTAAAAATCTTTCCAACATTGGATCCAGGGAGGGAGGGAAAAAAAAAGCAAGAGTTGTTATGTTTGGTGTAATAAGAGTTAGAAATCTGATTATTTTCTGACTCAGAATTGGGCATAGTTTTTTAAATCAGAGCACCTTAGTTGATCGTTCCCAGTCCTTGGGTTCTTTTAAAAATATGAGAGGTTTTGTCAGTTGGTCTGGCAAGGACCCAGAAGCGATAGCTTCTTAAAAACTCTTCAAGTGTAATTCTACTGTACAGTCCAAGTTAAGAATGAAAGAGGTGTATTCTGGAATAAATTGAGAATCCCGGTTAAGGGACTTTTCTCTGACTTTTGGAAGCTATTTTAATAAATTATAATTAGTAGTTTTTCATTTTATGTCATTTTGTGTTTGTGATTTTACTTTTCATGAAATGTATCTCAACATCGCTTTCAGGTTGGCAGGGATGGGATATATTATTATAACCTAGAAAGTCAATGTGATATAGCTTAAGCATGGGCTATTACAAAGCATGGGCTTTGTAATCAGTCAGACCTGGTTTCTAATTCCAGCTCCATTAGCAGCAAGTGGGGCTGTATTGGGAGCCTTACTCGACCACACCTAACCTTAGTTTACCTATTTATAAAATGGGTAATAATATTAGGTCTTTATTAGTATTATTGTGATAGCTGCTTGATATGATACATGTACCATGAAGAGCACGTACATTTAAAACAAAGAACTGTGGCTATTATTTCAGTTTGAAAGGTAAATTACTTGAAACTCAGAAGTGACTGTTCCATTATTTCACAAATATTTGGAGAAAATATTTACTTTGAAGTAAGATTATGTTTTATTACTGTTAAATCATAGGGCATTATGATTTTTTTAAAAAAAATGCTACATGTTAAAGCCCAAATGCCTACATCTACCTATTAGGCCTCAAATTCTAGGATTAGTGTGAGTTGCGTTAATAGCTTATTTCCATAACTTCTTAACAAACCCATGTCAATAGAAAAGTTGGTAACAAAGCAAAATTCTTAAAACTTAAATATTCCTTAATTTATAATAAAACCTTTATATTTCTCTTATGAAATAATATGTATTTTGGGACAGATTTTGGAAAAGTGAGAAGAGTACCGTATAGTATATGCAAATACATATTTCTCTTTTTTTCTGAACATTCTACTTGGAACATGTCACTGGGTATTCCTTAAAAAAAAAATGTTAATTTGGCTGGGTGCAGTGGCTCATGCCTGTAACCCCAGCACTTTGGGAGGCCAAGGTGGGCAGATCATGAGGTCAAGAGATCGAGACCATCTGGCCAACAGGATATACTGAAAATATTTAAATACTACTTTTAGTACAACAGGATTATACTAAAAATACAATTTTTAAATACTATTTTTAGTACAACAGGATTGTACTAAAAATACAAATAGCTGGGCATGGTGGCAGACGGCTGTCCCAGCTGTTCAGGAGGCTGAGGCAGGAGAATCGCTTGAACCCAAGAGGCAGAGGTTACAGTGAGCCAAGATTGCACTGCTGCGCTCCATCCTGGAGACAGAGTGAGACTATGTCTCAAGAAAGAAAAATAAAGTGATTTTTTGCACAGTAGTTTTATCAGTTTAATCATTCCTCCATTGTTAGACATACAGGTTATAATTGTTTTGCTGTTATAATTAAATTTTCCTTAAACATTTTTATTTCATCACCATAAATTATTAAAAATGGAATAGATAAAAGAACCTTTTATTTTTTTTTTGAACATAAACTCAAGATTTTATCTTCATAAAAGAAAAGATGACTTAGAACTGGATCACTTGGCCTTTTCTCTTATCTCCTCCCAGCTCAAAATGCTTGCATCTTAGCATTCTCTTAGATCTACAGTTGGGCTCAGCGCACTCAAGTCTTAGCACAATCTTCTTTGTAGTTTTAGCTTTTTTCTGGAAAATCGGCTTAGTTTGCCCACCCTAGCCACTCTGCTTCCTGTCATAACACCGCTTTCCCTGGGCATACAGAGAATCCTTGCCCTTCTTGTACGGTGTCACTTTGTGGGGTTGGTGCTTGCCACACTTCTTTCAGAAAGTCCGGCGGGTTTTAGGAACGTGACCACTACCGGCACGGAGAGCGGAGGTGAACCTTTTAAAGGCTTTCATAGCTACTGCCAAAGTTTTTGTGCAGATAAATTATACTAAAATATGAGCACCACTTTGCCAATAGTGAATGTTATCATTACTTTTTGATTCAAACTAGTCTTAGACACAGAAAAAAATAGTACAAACAGTTTTCATATACCCCTTATCCAGTTTTCCCTTATGTTAACATTTTATCACTACTGGGTAATTAACATTAATTCAGCTATAGACCTTACTGGAATTTCATCAGTTTTCCCATTAATGTTCTTTTTCATGCCCAGTATCTTATTCAGAATCCCACCTTGCAGTTATTTCTTTTTAGTCTACTCTATTTTCTAGTTATTCATCCTTTCTTTGTCTTCCATTACCTTGACAATTTTAAGAGTAGTGGCTAATTAATTAATTAATTTTATAGCAGATATTATGGTAACATGCCAATTTATTCGTTAAACATTGCTGTTGTTTTTATTTGCATTTTTTTTGGCTAGCAATTTGGAAAAAAGGTATTTCATATGTGTTGTTCATTTGTATTTCTGAATTCTCTTAGTTTATGTCTTTTGCCCATATTTTTCCTAAACTGATGGTCCATTTTCCTTTAATTTTTAATCATTATTAATCTTGAAACTTTTCTTGTTATATGTTATGACATGTAGAATGGCCCAAAAGTTACTCTCAGAGCTTATTGTTCACAATGAGTATCTTTTAGAAGTATTAGTAGTATTGGAGTACATTTGTGTATGTGTGTATCACTATATTTAATGTATTATAAAATTGGAGTATATGTCCCTAAATTATATTGACCATACTTTTCATAATTATGTACACTAAATATATATGTATGCTCATATATATTATACATTTATTCTGCTTTATACTTGACCACATTATCATTCATCTCATACTTTCACTCCTCTCTTCTTAAGATCTTCCTTTTAGTTTGGACCACCCTTTCTCCTGATGGAAGGGCTAAAACTTCCTTTGCATCCGGATGTCTCCAGGAACAGGACAGCTGGCCCAAATTACTTCTATAAACAACTTCTATTCTAAACCCTGTCTGCCTGGCATTCTTATTTGTTCACTCTGCTGACCTGATGCTTTTGTATTTGACTGATGAGACAGAAGATTCCTGGCCTGCCATGGCTTTCTATGGGATGATGGAACGTGTGTGGGGCCCATTTTTTTCTCCTTCTGACGTATAGCTTATACATTTCTCCAATAAAGATGATTTCAAAATTCATATTATGTGATATATTCATCCTTAACACTGATGCACAATACTGTAGATTGATTCCATTTGTTTGCCCTGATATCTCAGATGTGGGGTTTTTAAAGGCATAGAAGCTTTTAATTTTTTTGATCACATCAATATGTTTTTTATTTTTCTCCTTGCTCTTGCCCAAAGATTTTGCTAAGTTCTATTATTTGCCCATTAATGGGGATACTGCATCTTTCGAAGTTACTTATAGGATATCAATCTTATTGATATAAAGTTGGTTTATGTTTCTTTTACCTTGAAAAAGTTGGACTAAGAATTTTTCCCCCATTTTAGTTTTCTAGTCAGCAGTAAACCAGCTCTAAATAATAGCTTGCTTTCAGTTTCAGTAGATGATAATTTTGGCAAAGTAGCAATTATCTTTGTGTTATTAACTTGTTAATAATTGAGTCATCAAAGGGTTTCCTTAGAATATTGGGCAAGCAATTAAGTTTTTAAAAGTCTACAGGGTAAAATTCTTATATAATTATATAAAATTACATAATATGTAATATATAATTATATTGAATAATTTTAACTGTTGATTAAATGTATTATTTTTCCTTTGAACTATTTAACAGGGTTATATAACAAACTCATCACGAGTTGTGTCTAATAAGTCGTCAGAGTTACTGTTTGACTTGACCCAGGATACAGGGTTATCACATTACCAAGGGAGACCAACACTTTCTATAGCAGGTTGGTTTTGGTATTTTTTTTTTCATAAAGATTATAAAAAGAAACTTGATGAATATGCATGTGAGATTGGCTTTCTGTTTTGAAGCCCCTCCTTTGTGGGAAGTGTATCATGTATTGTAAGGTGGAATGTCACTAGTAGTTCTTGAATACCTTTCTTGGGTAATTTTCTGTAAAATCCTATTTAATGACAGAATATTTTATTTCTTCCTATTAAGTAACCAACTTTAAGCTCATTCTCACTTGGAGCTAACCATAGTTGAGAAATATTAAAATAATTTCTGTGAGTTAGAGAACTTCTCAGGTAGCCCAAATACTCTGTTAAAAAAAAAAAAAGGATTAGTTTCTATGGACACTAAGTGTGAAAAATACATGGTTATAGTTGATTTCTTATTAGTTTAATGTCTTTCTATTCTAATATATTGTTTCAGCATGATAGTTGAATATGATTATAAGGTGGTATTATAAACTGCCCACAATAAATAGTGATTTGCACATAGTAAGTACTCATTAAATGTACATTGAGGGATTAATGAACTTTCCCTGTTGAACAACATTTAAGATTTTTTGATTGTATACTATAACAAAGTTTTTCATTAATCTAAAATAAATTAGTGTACTATAAAAGAATTTTATCTAATTGAAAAATCAAGGCAATTACTCTTCGTATATTAGCAATTTGCATCCAAATATTTGACTAAATAGACATATACATGATTTTTTGGAATTTTTAGATTTACTAACAAATTAGTGTGGAGAATGTACCAAACCCTCTCGCAGTTTTTGTAATAGTAATACTAACTTTTGTTATAAACTTAGACTGTTTTTCCATTTTGATAATACTTGATTTGTTATTCACCTCTCTGGGTGTCAGTTAATTATTTAGTAACAATCTGGTTTGTGAAATAGTTAAGAATCAAAAGAAACAGGGAGAAAATATAGTTGTCTTAGTTATAGTTTCATAAAGCATATAGTCTTTATTCATAGAAAAAGTCTGAATTCTTGAAACTTCTTGGGAATAAGGAGAAATAATGATTCCTGTTATTCCTGTAAGTGTTCTACTTCGGAGTGGGACTTTAGCGTGAGCAGTAAGTAGGATGATTTGATCCTCTATTCTTAAGATTTTTGTAGCCTCTATTAAGTTACATAACCACTTTGATTTTCTCATATTGTTAAAAGGGAGATTTTAATTTTTTTTGTATAATGCATTCATTCTTCACATCAGGAACCATTGATTTGGACATGTAATTTTAATTCCTGCTCTACTTTGCTCAGGAATTTTTTAATGCCCAAATCCAAGTGAAATGTGAGAATACAGTATAAGCTTTAAAAGGCTGGACAACACAGTTATTATGAATGATATGTGCTACATGTTCAGTAACATGATTAACAGACTACCATCTAGGGAGATTATGGGGGTTTGGAGAAGACTGGATTTGAGCTAAATCTTAAATGAGAAAAGGATTTTACCAGCAGAGAGAGAACTCTTGAGGGTAGGGTGTAGCACAGGCCAAACACAACAGAGATAAATAAGTTAAAGCATCAAAATTTAAAACAAATACAGAGTGATTTTGTTTAATCTTGAGATTTTTTACTTTAAAAATTCTTAAAGCAATCTATTTTTGCTGTCCAGCCTGCTATAAATCAGATGCTTAATTCAGAATGCGAGCATTCCTTGGTTTTTCAAGTAACTTAAGCATCTCACAAGAATGTGAATGTGATTACCCAGAATCTTTCCCGTGTACCTACAGTATAGCTATCAGTAATCGAGTATTTTGAAGATGGAAAAAAATCATTTTTATGTTATCTCAAAAGCATTAAACAGAGAAACCAAGTAGTATAATACTTTTTATTTTGCTGGAATGGTTGCTTTTATTAAAAGGTTGACAGGTGAATCTATTATAATATTTTTCCCCTCTAAAGTAAGTTAAATATACAATATTTTGTTAGTAATGATAACAGCTGTAATTTATTATTGAGTTCTTTCTGTGTAACAGATGTTTTCTTGGGTGCTGTAAGTACATTATCTTGTTTGGCCCTTAAAGCAGCTCTATAAAATAGGTTATTGTAAATTATTTTATAAAAGAGGAAACTGAGGCTTAGAGAAATTAATAAAGCTAAGTATACATACTAGAGAGTGACGAGGTGTGGATTTGAACTTGTCTGACTTAAAAACCTGGAATATTTCTAATATATTTACCTTACCATTTCTACTTTTAATGTACAATTGGGAGAATTAAAATATGATGTACAGTTCTAGAATCTCTTTTACAAAGTACAGTTGTATGTTATTTTCAAAACAATACTTTTTTGAGCCTTGTTATAGCCTGGATACCCTCATTTCTGTTGTGAATGCAGTCAATAAAACTAAAATCCTTTAGCCTTAACATTATGGTTTTCAAATGGGAAAGTATTTTTAGGAACAAAATCCTTATATAAACAAATTTTTAATGCAAAATTTTAATAAAACAAAAATGTTTCTCGGTTAGACATGTTCAGTATATTATCTAAAGTGGACTCATTAATCTCTGGGGAACATAGTGTGAAAATCATTATGCTTACTACTTCCATTATGTGTCTTTTAAATAAATGAATGAAGTATTATCATTCAAGATTAGTTATTTCCACCATAGCGATAAATGGATAATACCGCCCAAAGTCGTGAGAGTAGACCACTCTTCAGTTTGTTAGGTAGGAAAAGAACTAAATTTCCATTAGACATTTTAAGTTGTTAAATAAAAAAAGCATCTTAAGAGTATCTCTAAATTTTGAAACAGATAATTGTTTTTTTACAAACTCTAATGTACTAAATGCACATTTAAGCATCTAAAGATAATTCATTTGTTAGAACTTATTCATAGTATACTTTATTTTTTGGTTGGAATATTTTTATCTGGCTCCCTTTAAAATAGCTATTTACATATTGCTTTTTTTGAAGCCATATTTAGAATTTTCTTTCATCAAGGGATTATTTTCTAAATTATTTAAATATATGTAGTCCATGATAAATATATGGGCAATTTCTTTATACCCTTGAGTTCGGATCACATCAAGTTTTTATCATTATTGTCATAATATGATAATTTAATATATTACGTTTAATTTAGCTCCGAACTATTTTTACTCAGATGTAAATAATATCCTAATTTTTAAAAATATTTTCTCTCTATTTAAATCATGTAGGTATGAATGAAAGTTCATTTTTATCAAAACGTCCTTCTACTTCTGAAGTTAATAATGTTAATCCAAAGAAGCCTAAGCCTAGCGAAAGTGTTTCTGGAGCAAATTCCTCAGCTGCATTACCTTCAGTTAAATCTCCTTCAGTGACATCTTCCCAGGCTATGTCAGCAAAAGGTAAATATGAAATCTGGTATGTAAAAAGAAATTATAGTATTTATACATATATTTTAGAAATGGTTATAATTTTTAAATGTATTATTAGTTTTAAGGTTAAAAAGTGATGAATTTGAATCACAAATGTTCTGAATTTATTTTAGGTGCAAATACCACATCAAATCAATCTAAAAATGGAACGCCTTTTCCAAGAGCTTGTCCAAAGTGCAACATTCATTTCAATCTTTTGGATCCTTTGAAAAATCACATGAAGGTAAAGCTCTTTCATTATTTAATTTGTAAAAAGTTTGCACATTTCTAAAAATATTGATGATAGTAATTAATGCTTTGTCCAGAAATAATCTCATTGGTATTTCCATTTAAGTAAAAATTTATATTCATAATGATTATATAGATTCTAAAATTCCTTATAAATCATCAAATTTTAAAACTTAAGGTTGTATGTAATATAATGAATGTTTATTGTATTTTAATTCTAAATAAAAATGTATTAATCAGATTAATTTATTAGGTCATACTCTTTAAACTTCTTATAAAACAGGCATTTTATTACATATTTACTTTTGCATATAACTTAAAAATTCTGTTACCTTATGGTGAAACCCCGTCTCTACTAAAAATACAAAAAATCAGCTGGGCATGTTGGTGCATGCCTGTAATCCCAGCTACTCAGGAGGCTGAGTCAGGAGAATTGCCTGAACCCAGGAGGCGGAGGTTGCGGTGAGCCGAGATTGCGCCATTGCACTCCAGCCTGGGTAACAAGAGCGAAACTCCGTCTCAAAAAAAAAAAAAAAAAATTCTTTTACCTTATTTTTGTGTGATGTTAACATATGCATGTCACATTGCACAATGAAAATCTGAGTTTTACATTTTAACAATCAAGTATGAACTCGAAGTGTTGGAGCGTTCCATATGAAATAATTATTTTAATTCAGTCTAGAATATAGTTCATATAATTGTATAAATTAATTTGAGCTTTTTATTGGTGCAGGAAGCCCTTGAATTTAGGTTTTAAGAAATGTTCAAAGTACTAATGAAGTATGAGGTTTAGGTAATGCTTAAAGTATTTTAGTAGATATTATAGTATCCTGCTGTGTTGTACTCTCCTTACATGCCCAGTATAAATGGCAGGAAGGGAGAAAAAATCAGAAAAATGGATGTAGATTATATAAGGAAAGATGGAAGGAGCTTGGTAGAATGGCAAAGAAGTAACTTAGAAAAAGTTTTTGCTATTTCAGAGGTTTACACATTTTTATTGAAATTCAGCATTTTACAAAGAAGTAGAAAAAAATAAGGGAGCTTAAAAAATTCTAAATACAGTCTTCTTATTCATATACACAACTGTGTTTGGTCTATCCTTACTATCAGAGTATATAGCCCTGGACTGCACTTTGTGCTTTGGTCTTACAGGAGAATTATCCTGTAGAGGTACTTTCAGTTTTCCTGTTCTATGTAATGTTTTGATGAGATTTCTGATTTTTTTATGTTTTGCATTACAGATGAAAAAAAGACCGTATTTTTTAGTTATCTATTTAATTTTTTTAGTAGGGAATAATACAGTCACATGATTCAAAACTAAAAAGCCTACAAAGAAATGAAAGTGAAGAATCTTACCTTGGTGTCTTTTTTACCTGGTTCCTAGTATGACTCAAAGAAAGTAATTTTTTATTAGTTTGTCTGCTTGTACAAGTAAACATGAATGTTCTTATTTTCTATTTTGTACAGAAATTGTAGCATGTTATATATACTTTTGCACCTGGAGAGAATGGCAGCATTCTCCAAAATGTGGCTTTTGTGTGTTACTTCATGGTTTGTAATTACTTCTAGTAGAAACAACAAAAACTTTGTAGAATTTTCATACTAATTTAATAAAACACTATGACATTTTAAATAAGAAAAGTATCCCTATCATTGTAAGAAATACAATTTCTTACAACTGAACTAAGTTGAAGATAAAATTGAACAATATTTGTGTTAATATCATAAGGAAATCTTGAAAGAATAGTCTCCAAATCTAGGAAGGGAAAGTTTAAATCTGTGGGGACTTTTTCTAGTTTATATATGTTTATGCATCAGTTAAAGTTTTAATATTATAATAACTTTTATTTTGAAAATAATATGATTCTTAGATTATTTGTGAATGATTATTATAGATAATAATATATTATAGATATTATAGATTATTATAGATAGATGGAAGAAGACTAGCATATAAATAATGTTTTCTTTCAATGGAAAAATATTTAAAATATCAAATATTCTATAACAATAAGAAAAATATATTTATCTAAGACCATGTATCAGATACAATACTAAGCTTTAAATATATTATTTCATTAATCCTTAGAAAATTCTTTGAGATATTTTTCTCTTTGTATAACCGATTAACTGGCATAACTATCTTTTAAAACTCAGTTTCTTTAATCGTAAACCCCAAGTTTTCACAAATACCTTTTTTTTTTGGTGAAGTGTAGGGGGTATTTAATATTATGTGGAAACTTGAAAATAGGTATATTATTTCTGTTTTGGGGTATGGAATTTGGTATTTACCAACCAAATATAGCTTATTAATTATATTTATATTTCTGTGTCTTCGCTTCCATTTAGTCCACTTGATCTGTCCTGGTTTGAGAAACACTACATTTCAAGGCACATCTTTCATTATCAGTATTTTCTTTCATATATTGCAATTTTGTTTCAAAGTTGTTGCTGTTGTTTATGATATAGAAGAATCTGGCTTTTAGAAGTGTATTGTGAGGCCAAGCGTCATGGCTCAGGCCTGTAATCCCAGCACTTTGGGAGGCCGAGGCCAGGGAATCACCTGAGTCCAGGAATTTGAGACCAGCCTGGCTAAAATGGTGGAACCTCATCTCTACTAAAGATATAAAATACTAGCCTGACGTGGTGACACATGCCTGTAGTCCCAGCTACTTGGGAGACTGAGGCAGGAGAATCACTTGAACCTGGAAGGTGGAGGTTGCAGCGAGCTGAGATGGCATCACTGCATTCCCTCCTGGGCAATGGATTGAAACTCCATCTCAAAAATAAAATGAAATAACTGTATTGTGAATGTATCCTTTAGCATTTTAATAAAATATCCCTTTCTTGGTCTTAACGTTTAGTGCCTTTCAGCCCAAATTCTACTGTGATGTTAGGGTCACAACTCCTGCTATGGTTTCCATTTGCATGGTGTACTCTTTGTTTGTTGTTTTATGTTCAACTCTTCTGAATTACTTTGTTTTAGGTGTGCCTTTTGCTTTGAGCAAAGTTGATTTTTCTTTTGTGATCCTATGTGAAAATCTCTTCTTTTAGTAATGGGTTTAGATTTACCAGTATGATAGATTTATTTGGTTTTAGCTCTGTTAAAATTTTTCATTAATCCTTTCTCTTTTAAAAGCCTTTCACAGTGTGGTTGCTTTATGTGTGTGTAGCTGTAGTTTTGTTTTCCTGGTTATCTTTCTGATTTTAATGTATAACTCCACTCGTCTTCCATTCCATTATCCATTCTCTACTGTTCTTTTCTATGAGGAAAGATTAAAGTAGCATAAAACTTCTTGTTTTAATCTACCCATCTTTGCCTTTTGCTAACTGATTTTAGTCAATATTGCCTGACCATTTGTTTACCTTTGCTACTAAAATGCCTGTACCTGTATTACTTTATTTGGTGGCTCTGGTACTCCTTGATGAACTGCTACTATATGTGAGGCAGTATGTGAACTCTTGACCTCATACTCTTTGTTCTTTTATCCTCTCCCAATTTTTATTTGTTGGTTGTACTATTTTTCCATTTTCAGGGCATATGACATTACATATTTTTTTAAACCTTATGTCATATTTTTTTGGATCTTTTTCTACAGTAAATACATCCAGTGTTCATCATCAGTGTTTTTGTAATGGTTTATTTGGTTTTCTGTTTGGCTGAAGTTCATTCTGCAGTAATTTCATTTAGGAAGAGCCTGAAAACTTTCTTCTGTGAGGTCATTCATGTTCAAAGCAATTTAACTATAGTCCGTTCTGGAAAGACGGTTTGATCTTATATAAAGTAAATTGAATCCCACTATCAGGATTTTGTTGGTGTAGCTCCCTTTTTCTAGTATTCAGTGTTGCTGTTCAGGAATCTGGGACAAGCTGAATTACTTTGTGTTTTATAAGTGGTTTGATCTTTTTGTTTGATTGTCTACAGCTTTTTGGTTGTCTACATTCTTTATGTTTTGAAGACTGATAAATTTTTAATGATATAACTTGGTGTTGGGAATTTTGGGTGAATCCTCTCTGGCATACACCTTGTTCTTTCAACCTGCATATTTGGGTTTAGCACACTTGATTTGAATTGTATTTTAAAATATTTATCCCATACAGTGTCATCTTCAGTATGAATTTGTTTTATCTTCTTTGCCTGGCGTACGTACTTTTTTTCCTAATCCTTAATTTTTTTAAATTGACTTTTCTCCTACTAATGTCTGTTTTCTTTATTTTATTTGCAACGTCTGCTCACCACTATATTCCTTCCTAATTTCCCTTCATGTCTCTGATTTTATTTTTTTTCCTGTACTTTCACCCTTGATTTTGCCACTCCTTTTTTTTTTTTCTTCTAAATGTCTTATTGTCTTGGCATCTCTGCTTGCTTTGTGGTCTTCCAAATAGAGACAATTGCTTCATTATGTTTTTAAAATTTGTGGCTACTTTTTTCATCTACATCTGCTCCATGGCAACATATTTCTGAGGTTTTTGTTGGAATTTTACATTTTTTGGTTATTTGACTTCTTTTATTATACAGTATTTTTGTTTAGATGTGAATTCCTATTGTGTTTAACAAGTTGGATTTTCTTGGGCCAGCTGTTTTATTCAAGCTCTTTTAGGAGGAAGCATAGGTTGCCAGGATAGTCTCACAGCTTGCTAGCTGGTTTAAACAGCTTTTTGCTGGACAGGAAGCTTCCTGCAATTGTGACTTGTGTGTCTGATTCTTTATGTAGCACTGCCTTTCTGCTTTTCTGTGCTGAATCGGGTCTGGGGTACTTCGGCTGCCATCCTTGTTGCCCCAGTTTCTGCACCTGTTTTTGCAAACAAAGATCTACCTTTGTGATTCACAACATGTGTTTCAGCTTTAACATGTATATTTTTACTGTCTCTTTAATATCTGTTACCACTGAGTCCCCTTTACTTCTCTGGTTTACTTCTAGCTGAAAGCCATCTGCCTGATGTTGGCTGCTTTGGGTAGTGCTTTCATATATTGTGGAGTTTGTGGATTTTGTCTGACTCTTAGTTTCAATGATAAACCAATTTGTGGAATTTGGTTGTGTGACTTTTGGATGAATCCCAGAAGGAAAAGGGGAAAATGTTGACTGATGTAGGATGTTCACATGAGAAGTCCTATTTTACTATAAAAATAGGATCTCCCCTCTTTTGCTCTGAAAAACCTACCTAAGTTTTTAGGGCCTTAACAAAGCAACAGAACATGGTCTGTATACTGGGAGGAGTAAAAGTAAGAATGATAGACAGATGGTGTCTGATATTTGTCAAACTATAGTATATGGTATTAAAGTACATATTTAATACTTGCAGAATGTAAAAATAAGGGATAAATGAGGAGTTGTAGTGAAGGTCTATTAATACCACAGAAAGGTACTAGGGCTGAATAAAAGGTGACCAGTTGATATTGTATCATAGCTCAGCCATGCCCCTGCATAGCTTACTTTATCCTCCTATAAAACCTTAAGTCTAAGCTTGGTTCCCATTTCTTAAGTTGCTTATTTGTTTTTTGGATAAACAAGGATACTTTGCTTTTCTCAATGATTAAATCCTCCACCTAAATTCACTACACCTTGTTGTCTGTTCTTGGTTGTCAGTGGTTTATTATTCAGCTCTTTTATAGAGATATGAAACACTGTTTAAAAGGTATGCTGTGAGCAAAGTTTATTTAAAAAATCTGATCCTATCCTACTTCTCTGTTGAAAAATACAAGAACAGCAGTAATTTATCATTTATTGTGGGTTTCATAATTTATAGGTATTTTAGAGTAATCTTTAATGTTTATAGACTGTGCAGTATAATTTGACAATTTTACATTGGGACATAAGATTATCCACATTTCTAATTAGGGAGACTATTCTATATTATATAATTTTTGTATATTATAATTATTCCCCAACCAGGCTTTATGAAATTTTGTATATCACTTGATAATTAAATACATACATCAAGGCATATAAATATTTTCTTTCTGTACATCTCGACACGGACATGAGATGAATGATTTTTGGTTAAGGAACAAATTATTATTAAATATTTACATCTAAAAAGGCAAATTGCATGCATAAAGCTGTTAGAACTACAGCCATGTCTTGGTTTTAGGGTTTCTCATTTCTTTTTGAATTTTTAAATTAGGATAATAGGTGTTTATTATTTGAATTTTTAGAATATGTATACACACCACAAATTTTTGGTGACTATTTTTCCAGATATATTACAAGCATAGTTTTGATGGTCTGGCGTTAGGTATAAACACACAATCACTTTTTGGTATGTGTTTTTTCAAAGAATAAGTAAGGCTTGTATTTTTTTTTTTTCTCTTTCAGTATTGTTGTCCAGACATGATAAATAACTTTTTGGGACTGGCTAAAACAGAATTTTCAAGTACAGTAAATAAAAACACAACTATTGATTCAGAGAAAGGAAAATTGATCATGTTAGTTAATGACTTTTATTATGGAAAACATGAAGGAGATGTCCAGGAAGAACAGAAGACTCACACAACCTTTAAATGCTTCAGTTGCTTGAAAATTCTAAAAAATAACATTAGGTATGTAAATACTTATTTTTATTTCTATTGAAAATTGAAATGCTGCAAATAACGTTATGCCTTTATCTTGTGTTTTCTATGCTATTCTAGGTAAGCAGTTTTAATACTTTCTACTAAGAATAAAGGCAGATTCTCTTTTTGAAAAGCTTTTGTCCTTTCTTGTATTGTGGAGTTTGACTCTTGGATCCAGTTAGTTGTATTTCTTTCGCATAGCTTAAGAAAGGACAAAGTTCATTTTAACTTAAGACAAAATAAACTTCTTTTTTCTGTTTTAGTAGTGATCTTTGAATTTTTATTAGACATTTTTTATTTTCTAGTTGCCTTTGGAATTTTATATTTCTTCACATTTTAAGAAGAACCATTTTGTTTGTCCAGCTTGAGCTCCTCGATACTAATCTTTGTAATGCTCAAATCTTTCAATTTATATTTATAATTTTTAGAACATTCATCTTGCAGGAAAAGTTACCTGTTTTAGAGATGTATCAGTTCTAGGAAGCATGTCTGTTTTGATTTTAAAATTTAACACCTTTAAAAATTAGAGATTTAATTCCGTCAGAATTTTGAAGATTTTTATATGAATGCTTTAAATATTAGAAATTTACACTTCATAATCGTTGAGTTGTAATCTTTGAAACTATCATTCTATATAAATTAGTAACAAGAGAAAAGTAATGACATTAAATGATATTATTTGTTGATTATATAGCCTGATATTTATATTCGATAAGGTTTTGTGTATCACTTTACTATAAAAATTTTCAAATATTAAGCAGTTTTGAAAATTTCACATTGGACCCTTGGACACTTACCACTTTGATTTTACCATTAACATTTTACTATACTTGCTTTATTATGTATCTCTTCATCCTTAGAACTATTTGATTTTTTGGGTGCATTTCAAAGTAATCTGTAGTGTGTTCGTGAATGTGTGTACAAGCATATTCATATACTTACGCCTTTGTGTTTATTCTTGGTAACTATCAACTGCAATTAGCATTTCAAAACACCTATAGTTACTTCTGAGCTCAGCATTTATTTATTTTCCTGTGAGTTTGTGGGTCCAAAAAGAAGCATATATAAAATCCTGAAATACATGGTGATGTATACCTATAACAATTATTGTTTCTTTATGATAGTGCTTTATAATTTTCAAAGTTCTTTCACATTCATCTTGTTTTATATGAGTTTTCTTATTTCCTTACCTCCTTTTATCAAGCTTAGGAGCCATCAATAGCCAATGGTTGCAGTAGTTTAACAGATGGGAAATGGTATTTTGAGACAAAACACTGAAACAGTGTTGCAATATAACTCTACCACCATGATAACATGACATCAAAAATCATGTTAGCAAATATGGTAAAATGCAGAGCAATGTGATTAATTGACTTAATTTCTTGTATTGAAATATGGGATTATAAGTTATTTCTCAGTGGTTTTTTTGGCCTTTCCTTTAAGATTAGCCCATTTAATATCAAACGCGAAAATGAGGTTGGGCCTGGTGGCTCACGCCTGTAATCCCAGCACTTTGGGAGACTGAGGCAGATGATTGCTTTAGCAAAGGAGTTCGAGACCAGCCTGGGGAACACAGCAAAACCTCATCTTCAGAAAAAATACAAAAGTTAGCTGGGCATGGTAACATGCACCTGTGGTTCCAGCTATTTGTGGGGCTGAGGTGGGAGGTTAAGGCTGCAGTAAGCTGTGATCATGCCTCTGCACTCCAGCCTGGGCAACAGAGCAAAGGTGTCTCAAAATAAAATGAAAAATTCATTTTTTGTTATTGTTTATGAAGACTAGCTACATATGTCTAGATTTTCAGAATATTTACAGATTTTAAGAAAACTGTATCTGATAATATCCAGGAATTGAGCATTTTTAAAACTACTGATCATTTAGAAAATGCAACTTTAATGGTAAACACCTCATGAACAAAGAAGTTAAATGTATAATATTTTACTTTACCAGTAAAAACTAGGAAGGCAACTTGATATTTATAGAGAATAAATAATTGATAGCTCAGCATTTCTGTTCTCTGCCTTATCAACATACTGTGGTATAAGGTTTTTTTCCTACATTGAGTGTCACTAAAAATAGTTAGATTTATCTAAGTTCTGTGAACATCCTTGCAAGAGGTTTTGCTGTTTCCCTAATTTCTCTTGGGTTGAGAAGTATGAGCTTCTGATGGAAATCATTTAATAATTGGGAAAAAGTGAATTGGTTAAGGGATCATTTTATGTTATTAGCCTTTAAGTGGTGAAAGTTGTGAGCTGAAAGTTTAATGGCTTAAGACCATCACTCTATACGTAAATATTTAACCAAGACCGGGATTTTCTGTAGGCATTTGTAGAGCTGGTGTTCAAATCAAAGGAGGAAAGGATATTTCAAGGTGTATCATAGCGCACTCTAAAGAGAGGCAGTGCTGTAAATTTGTGAAAAGAGACATACATTATAATCTTCATGATGATTGCTATCCAGATTGATGGCATTATCACTTAGTTTCAAGATAATTTCTTTTAGGGACTCAAAGTGAATAATTGTTAACAGTTGACCTAGTCTAAAAATTACGGTTTTTATCGAATCACTTTACTCTCAAATTCAGCAAATAACTTCAGTAAGCTCTTTTAAATAAGTGTTACCATTTATATTGCATCCTCTGCCACTGAATGTTGTAGTTCCTGCTCAGAAGAAGCCTTTTAGGGAAGCTGAAGTAGCAGAATGTAAAACTGAAAAATGTACGTTGCCTACAAAGGGCACTGCCTGCAAGTTAAGATGAACAGTCTCTGCTAACAGTAAACCAGTATCATTAAATAAAACAAAAGGTTCTTGTAATTGTAGGTATTAAAACTGCTATTACATGCATTTAGAAACCAAGATACAAGTAAAAATACCACTAATTTGTCATTTAAGCAGCTGGAATCTATTGTATATTTTCAAGACCTTAAAAGATTTCCTCCTGACTGTAGCTGCCTTTGGTGATAGGGTTTCCTTTCTTTTAGTATTTTATTTTAAAATGTAAATAGGATTTCAAATATGGATCAGAAGCCTGCTATTTTATCTAAATGGAAAAAATCTGAATTAATGATTAAGAGTTACATCAAATTGGTGATCTTTCAGATTAATTGCATTAATGAATTATTTTAAAGCGACGATAAAAAGATGTTTATTTAACCACTTAAAGAAAGTGATTATTTAAAAATGCATACTTTCCTACACAACTTTAGGACTTTTGATAATTAAGAGCAATACATTTATATTTTTAAGATTTAGGTTCAGATTCTTGTTTGTGAGATTTCCTTTTTGTTTTTAAATCTCAAGTTTTGCACCTGTTGACAACCATTTATAGGTTTATGAACCACATGAAACACCACTTGGAACTTGAGAAGCAGAGCAGTGAGAGCTGGGAAAACCATACCACCTGCCAGCACTGTTACCGTCAGTTTCCCACACCATTTCAGTTGCAGTGTCACATCGAAAGTACACATACCCCCCATGAATTTTCTAGTAAGTTACCAATACATTTAAATATTCCATATTTATTGATTTTGATAATATAAAACAAGAAAACCTTAAGAAGTTGGTTAGAAAAATGAAAATAAGAAATAGACTTTGGAATTTGAGGGCAAAATTGAAAAGGCCAAGTTTTAACAGTTACAAACTTTTAAATAAAATTAGTTACTTATAATAAAGTACCTCTTGCAAATAATTCATTATGGTAACTGCATTGACATAACCTGTGCATTATATATTGGGGACTAAATTAAGAGCCTAGTATCATTTATTTTAAATATGAATTCAGTGCTCTTCATTTAAACTTTAGTGGGAAACAGAGCTACAGTTGTAGTTTAAAATCACAGGCCAGGCTTGATGGATCATGCCTGTAATCCCAGCACTTTGACAGGCCAATGTCAGGAGATCACCTGAGGCCAGGAGTTCAAGACCAGCCTGGCCAACATGGCAAAACTGTCTCTACTAAAAATACAAAAATTAGCTGGGCATGGTGATGCATGCCTGTTATCCCCCCTACGTGGGAAGCTAAGGCAGGAGAATCACTTGAACCCAGGAAATGGAGGTTGCAATGAGCCAAGATCATGCAATTGTACTCCAGCTGGGTGACAGAGCAAAACGCTATCTCAAAAAAACAAAAACAAAGCAAAACAAAAAAACAGATTTTGGAGCAAGATGGCTTGGTTTTAAATCCAAGATCTGCCTCTTAATACACGTACAAGATTTTAGCCATGTTACTTTATATTTGAATAATGGGGATAATATAAATACCTACCTTGTAGGATTGTTAATAGGAGTTAAGTGAGTTAATGTAGGTGAGGTAATGTGAGTGCTTAGAACTGTTCTTTGGACTTAGTTAATTAGTTAACAAGCTGTTTAACTATTGACGACTGTCACTACTGCTGTTATTATTGATATAGATGCATACAATGAATTTTTATATTAATATCTTAAATATTATAATACTGTTTTTCTCCCACATTTAGCTATTTGTAAAATCTGTGAATTGTCATTTGAAACAGAGCATGTTCTTTTACAACATATGAAGGACAATCATAAACCTGGTGAAATGCCATATGTCTGCCAGGTACACATATATTTTATTGTTTTCTTACGTGTTTAGTTTGTTTGTTGTTTTGGTTATAATATTTAAGCCTATTAGACCAGCAGTCAGCAAACTTATGCAGAACTTGGCATAACTTATGCCTTATATGAGGGTGGGCAGCAAGCTGGGTTTGGTCTACAGGCTTTTGTTTGTTTTGCTCTTCCCTGTACTGGACAAAGATGAATCCTGTTGTAGAAAAACAAACATATGGACTTACTGTACTATATAGGGAAGAATGTAGACATACAAGGGAAATACATAGTGCTGTTAGTTACAAAGAACCCTACCAAATGCTTTCACAAAGCATTTGGCAAAAGCATTTTTGCAGAATTTGAAGGAAGAGGAAGGCAAGGAAAAGATAAATTGCCACTGCCATAAACCTGGAGGCCATTGATAATCTAAAGGAGAATGCTGTTTCATGTAGCAGAAAAATATGTTATAGGGCAAGAGTTGCCAAAGCTTGAAAATTCAAGTCAAGATAGAAGGTGATAGATAAAAAGATCTGATAAGGGGAAGGGGATCTAGTTGTGTTTTGGGATATATCCCTTAACTTTGAAAGCTACGTTTAATGTCTCAAAGATGATCTTGCAGTGTTGCCTTAGTGAGATTCTTGGCTGCAAACGCATCAGAGCTAGATTAGTAGTACATAATGTTCTCCTGACAAATTGTAAATTATTGTTACTTTGTAATTGCATATCAGTTACAAATTTTCAAGTTAAACCAAGCCTTCTTTCTATTTTTAGGTTTGCAATTATAGATCATCATCATTTTCTGATGTGGAAACTCATTTTAGAACATCCCATGAAAACACTAAGAACTTGCTATGTCCATTTTGCCTCAAAGTTATTAAAATTGCAACGCCATATATGCATCATTATATGAAACATCAGGTGAGATTTATCAGTTCTTATTTGTTTATTTTGTCTTAGTGAAAACACTGATTATGACTTGGAGCATCTGTAGATTTGTTTTGCAAGGGAAGCAAAGTGGTTCCAAATGACACTATTAATTTATGCTTTATGTTTGCTTGTGAAATTTCCACTTCTTTTCCTTACTTCCTTTCTGGTGATGGTGTGGGTCATAAATAATGTAAATTCTGAAAGATAGCTAGAAATAGGAAGCCTATGATGAGAGGGAAAAAAAGGTGAGTGGAATATCCAAAATATTTAATATTTTGGGGTATAAATGTAGATATGAGAATGATTTTGAAGAGAGTTCTCAGGACAAGGGGAAAAATGAGTTTGAACTGAAAAAGAAAAGATAGAGGATTTATAATCTTATTTTCCTTTTGCTCTTCAAACTTTCTAACCCCTTATCATTATGAGAAGCTATATTGTCATCATTGACCTGGAATTGTCTTTTATAGTCATGTGACCATAGGAATAGTAGTGACGCTTATTAATCAATGTATTAATTCTGCCAGAGAAATATATTTAGATCATCACTTGTTCCCTAGATGGCTTCCACCAATTTTGCTATATAATTTTGGAACTCAGTGCTTGTACTTAGTGCTTTACCCTTCCCTTGAATTCTGATATTATGCTTATTGGCTCTTTTCCTGAAGCAATTAAACCATCTTTTGTTTGGACTAAAAATTTTGATGCAACACTAATCCTATATTTGAGTGCTTGAAAGAACAACAGTGCCTTTGCCAAAATTAGAATCTGATGGATTTACTGAATCTGAGCATGCAGTCAAGTTTTGCCAACTCATTACAAACAGTACATTCTCTTATTATTGATTAAATTGACATGCCAATTTATTCAGCATTGGTGCTCACTTTGCTGTCATTTTCAGTTGTCAGTTAATCATGAAATTGACTTGAAGTTTTTAATTGGAGAAGATCATAAAAGTAGAATTTCTAGATCAATTTGGGATCACCTGTGTTGTGACTGGGCTGCCACCCATCTTGAGAGTGTCTGGCAAGATTTTCTATGCTAGGGTTTCCCCAACAGTGTTTCATCAGTTGTTAATAGATATTTTCCCCCAAATCATCACTGCTAAATAAATTTGTTAAATGCCTGGATTTATAAAATCAAGCAGTTTTGTTTGTTTTTTAAAACAGGACTTTTCAGAACTTTTAATATGCCAGTGGACATTGTAAATCTCTGAGAAAAGATATAGTATGTATCATTCCCCAAACTTATTTGACTATTGACCACTTTATTTGCACAGTACCTATTAACATTTCTTGATGAACAGAGTTTGGGAAACACTGTTCCTGATACTCTGTATTTCATCTTTGGAGTTTAATTTTGAAAGGGTGAATGAAGTATAAGGCAGTAGCTCTAGTTCATGATGGGGCTTTTTAACATAATCTTTCCCAGGTAATTTGCCAGACCATAGAGTGAGATAGAGATGTGGAAAGAATGATAACTATGACAGAGATTTGGGGACCCACTATGTGAGCTGTGTGATGTATAAGCAAGTCATCATGCCCTGTGTTTGATGTTTTAACTTGCCATGGCTGCCAGTTTTCTTTTTTGTTTGGAGTGCCTGGGAGGTAGATAGCCAGCATTAAAGAGGAGGCAATCTATTAATAAGAAGGATCATTGGGCATCCTTGAAGGTATTTACAATTTGTGTAATTATTTACAAGACTGGAAAACCATAGCTGAGTGGGATTATAAACTTGTAGTTGAGATGTCGTTATTACCGAAGTATTGGACAATCAGAATAGTTGACTCCATGCCTCATTCCATTATTTTTGAAGAACTCAGTTGTAACTTTTTTTTAAAGATTATATTATGTCTTTAGTGATTTTCGAGTTAATAACCCAGTTTGTGTGACTTTCAAGAAGTATTGATAGCAATTCCAGATGTGTTAAATGTGCTCATTAGAGCTTTAATAAAACAAGCAGTTAACATACACTAATTACTTACCTTATCGCAGCAGCTGGCACTTTACATGTATTTTCTTGTTTAATCCTCTCAACCACTATATGTATATTATTATTTATGTTTTATAGATGAGGAGACAGAGCTTTAGAGAAAGTAATTTGCCTAGTGTCACATTGTCTAATAAAAGGCTGAGTTAAAAGTTTGACTTTAGTGTCCAAGCTTTTACTGTTCTACCACAGAGTTGGATTTCACATTGACATTAGGTCTAAAGATAGAAATTACATATAGTAAGAATTAAATATAAATCTCTCAAGTCTCCCAAACAATATAGTATACTTATAAAAAATTTAATACAGATATTTATTTCTTTATACTTGGAATAGATCACTGTTTCTTTTATTGAACATAGGGTTAGAAAAAACATAGTGTTCTATCTTCATCACCCTTGGTGCTTTGAAATGCATGCGTACATAAGTGAGATGTGTAGGACTTGAATCCAACTAAGGGACTAGTAGATTAATATATTCTACCTTAGGACTCTAGACAAATGTTCATTGAATGAAGAGGTAGATATTTTGAACTAAATTGCACATGCTACTCATATGTATTTTCTCTGTTAGTCTCTTTTCTGACTCACCATTCAGCTAAGAAATATTTACTGAATGCCTTATTATGTGCCAGGGGTGCTTTAGATATCATATAGCAGTGAACAAAGCCAAGTTTGTGTCCTCTGGAATTTACATTATAGTAGAGAAAGATAGTACATTTGTGTGTGTGTGTGTGTGTGTGTGTTAGAATGTATATACTGGCAATAAGTACTGCGGGAGGAAAATGCGGAAGATGAGGAGTGTTAAAGATTGGGGAGGTGATAGGAGTGGAGGAGTGGTCAAAAAAGGGTGTATCAAAGGATGCTCAAACATGGGCCTCTCTGAAGGATAAAGGAGTAAACCATGTGAATTACCTGGGAGAGGTAACATTATATAGTCAGTGAATTGAGTGTATCCCTGGGATGGTCACGAAGTAGCAAGGAGGCCAGTGTGGCTAAAGCCGAGTAAATTAATAGAAGGTGGAGTAACAGGAGATGAGGTTTTAGCAATAAAATGTGGACCAATTCATGTGGAGCTTTGTAAGCCACAGCCAAGACTCTGGAAAGGCACTAAACATTTTTAAGTATGTGAAAGATGTGCAGTGTTTTTATTACTGGCAACTAAGAAGAGAAAAGCCCATAGGAAAGAAAGGACATTAGGGGGAGAACATAGAAAGTTTTTAAGTGGTAAGTGGCTTGGGCCTGTATGGTAGCAATGGTTGGAGGTAATGAGAAGTGGAAAGATTATGAATGGTTTTGAAGGTAGAACTGACAGATTTTATTAATGTATTTGACATGGGATGTAAGAGAGAGAGAGATTAAATGTTTTGTCTTGAGCAGTTATAAGAACGGAGTTTCATGTACTGAGACGGGGAAGACTGAAGAAAGAACAGATTTTTTAGGAGGAGGGAAACAGGGATACAGGAAGGAAATATTAAGTTCAATTTTGTTTGGATAGATTTGAGAAGCATATTAGACATCAGGCAGTAATGTTAAGTAGGCAGTTGGTTAGATGGTATTTAAAACCATGAAACTGGGTGATGTAATCAACTGAGTGGTTACATATAGAGAAAAGATTTCTGGGAACTCAACTGGTGAACTTTTTTCCTTCTCTTTTGTTTTCGTATCTGTTTCTTGGTCAAATTTTCTCTCCTTTTTCTCCTTTTCCTTGTGCACATATAAGTGAATTTGTTTGAATTGCCCATACCTGTGATGTAATCCAGTGTATCACACTTCTAAAATACTTTTAAGAGCCTAGGAGGTTGAGGCTGTAGAAAGTCAAGACTACACCGCTGCATTCTAGCCTGGATGACACAGTGAGACCTTGCGTTAAAAAAAAAAAAGTCTTAAGATGCAGTTATTAATAGAATTGTAACACATATTTATATGTTGCTTTGAATTTTATGAAGAATTTTTATTTATGAAGTGCTTGCTTATATGCCAGGAACTGTGCTAGGTACTTCCCTATATATTATTTTGTTTGATTTTTATAAATAAGTGGTTGTTTAAAAAAAACCCACAAAACTTCAGGCCAATATCCTTGATGAACATTGATGGAAAAATCCTCATTTAAATACTGGCAAACTGAATCCAGCAACACATCAAAAAGCTTATCCACCATGATTGAGTAGGCTTTATCCCTAGGATGCAAAGGTTGGTTCAACATATACAAATCAATAAATGTGATTCATCACAAACAGAACTAAAGACAAAAACCTCATGATTATCTCAATAGATGCAGAAAAGGCTTTCAATAAAATTCAGTATCTCTTCATTTAAAAACTCAATAAACTAGGTATTGAAGAAACATACCTAAAAATAATAAGAGCCATATATAATAAGCCCACAGCCAATGTCATACCGAATGGGCAAAAACTGGAAGCATTCCCTTTAAAAACCAGTACCAGACAAAGATGCTCTTTCTCACCCCTCCTATTCAAGATAGTATTGGAAGTTCTGGCCAGGGCAATCAGGCAAGAGAAAGAAATAAAGTGAATTCAAATAGGAAGAGAGGAAATCAAACTATCTGTCTTTGCAGATGACATGATTCTGTATCTAGAAAACCCCATCATCTCCGCCCAAAAGCTTTTTAAGCTGATAAGCAACTTCAGCAAAGTCTCAAGATACAAAATCAGTACACAAAAATCACTGACTTTTCTATATACCAACAACAGGCAAGCCAAGAGCCAAATCATGAGTGAACTCCCATTTACAATTGCCAGAAAAAGAATGAAATAACTAGGAATAGAGCTAACAAGGGAAGTGAATTTTCTCTATGAGGAAAACTATTATACAAACCACTGCTCAAAGAAATCAGAGATGACACAAACAAATGGAAAAACTTTCCATGCTCATGGCTAGGAAGAATCAATATTGTGGAAATGGCCATACTGCCCAAAGTAATTAATACATTCAATGCTATTCCCATTAAACTACCATGGACATTCTTCACATAACTAGGAAAAACGATTTAAAAATTTGTATAGAACCAAAAATAGCCTAAATAACCATGACAATACTAAGAAAAACAAAGTTGGAGGCATCACACTACCTGATTTCAAACTATACTACAGGGCTATAGCAATCAAAACAACTTGGTACTGGTACAAGAACAGACACAGAGAACAATGGAATAGAATAGAGCACCCAGAAATAAAACCACACATCTACAACCATCTGATCTTCAACAAACCTGACAAAAGCAAGCAATGGAGAAAGGATTCCCTCTTCAATAAATGGTGTTTAGAGAACTAGCTACCGATAGGCAGAAAACTGAAACTGGACCCCTTCCTTATATCATAAACCAAAATTAACCCAAGATAGATTAAAGACTTAACTGTTAATCCCAAAACTGTAAAAACCCTAAAAGAAAACGTAGGCAATACCATTCAGGACATACGCACGGGCAAAGATTTCTTGACAAAGACACCAAAAGCAATTGCAACAAAAGCAAAAATTGGCAAATGGGATCTAATTAATCTAAGGAGCTTCTACACAGCAAAATAAACTATCAACAAAGTAAACAGACAACCTACAGAATGGGAGAAAATTTTTGGAAACTATGCATCTGACAAAGGTCTAATATCTAGCATCTATAAAGAACTTAAACAGATTTACAAGAAGAAAACCAATCCCATTAGAAAGTGGGCAAAGGATATGAACAGACAATTCTTAAAAGAAGACATACATGCAGCCAACAATGATATGAAAAAAAGCTCAACATCACTGATTATTAGAGGAATGCAAATCAAAACCACAGTGAGATACCATCTCATACCTGTCAGAATGGCTATTATTAAAAGTTCAAAAAATAATAGATACTGGCAAGGTTGTAGAGAAAAAGGAGTGATTTTATACTGTTGATGGGAGTATAAATTAACCATTGTGGAAGACAGTGTGGCAATTCCTTGAAGACCTACAGACAGAAATACATTCTACCCAGCAATTTTATTGCTGGGTATATACCCAAAGGAATATAAATCATTCTGGTAAAACATATGCTCACATATGTTCTTTGCAGCACTATGCACAATAGCAAAAACATGCAATCAATCTAGATGCCCATCAGTGGTGGGCTGGATAAAAAAAATGTACATATATACCATGGAATACCATACTTTTTTATGGAATACCATAAAAAAGAATGAGATCATGTCCTTTGCAGGGACATGGATTTGCCCTTATCCTTAGCAAACTAATGCAGGAACAGAAAACCGAATACCACGTGTTCTCACTTATACGTGGAAGCTGAATGATGAGAACACATGGACACATAGAGGGTAACAACACATACTTGGGCCTACCAGAAGGCAGAGAGTAGGAGGAGAGACAAGATCAAGAAAAATACTACTTTTTCTTGGGTGATGAAATAATCTGCACAAAAAAACTCCAGGACACATGTTTACCTGTGTAACAAACCTGCATATCCTGCTCGTGTACCCTGAACTTAAAAGTTAAAAATAAATAAATAATTAGTTGTATTTAAATGGACATAGTAATGTATCTGGCAGAGATACAGCTTTAGAAAAGGCATTCCTTTGTAATTATATGTTGTATAATTATGTGTATGTGTGTATATGTGTATTTATATATATATGTATGTATGTAAAACAACATATAATTACAAAGGAGTGGTTTCTCTAAAACCATTATATGTAAAAAATATATTAATGAGGGTAAAAATTGCAGTTGATAATCTGTAGTAGAAAGAACGCTGGATCAGGAGTCTGGTAATATCACTAACTAGCTGTGGGGAAGTGCCTTAGATTTTTTTAGGGGGTCCTATTTCCCATCTGTAGAATAATGGGTTTGAGGAGGACTCAGTCCAGGGATTCTCAATCAGTAAGTTCAGTTGTTCTGTTTTATGCCTCCTTATCCACATTGTCTAATATAGTAGCTACTAGCCACATATGGCTTTTTAGATATAAATTAATTAAACAATATTTAAAATATAGTTCTTTAGTCACAGTAGCCACATTTCAGGTGCTTCACTAACCACCTCTGACTAGTGGCTATTGTGTTGGACAGTACATCTCTATAATATTTCATTATTGTAAAAGGTATTATTGGACAGCATTGGTTTATATAACCATTTCTATTAAATAACCTGCTTTGAAATGTCTGGTTAAATTTATTTGGTTTTAGAAAGTTTATTTTACCAACTTTTTAACTAACTAGTAATAGCAAAAATTATAAATAATTTACTTTTTCTAGGATAAAAACACAATACATCTAATTTTCACAGTATCATGTTTATTTCAAGTTTATAACTGAAAGAGCTTTCTCACCACAATTAAGTTTTATTAGAAGCTTTTGATAGAACTTTTATGCACAGTTCCTATATAGTAGCCAAACACTTTTGAAACCCAAATACTAATTTACTGACTTACTTAAAATGAGGTATTTTGATATTATTTATGATAGGATATGCTAAACTGTTAGTTTTTACATTGTTTAGGTATCATTAAAATTAAGTCAGAGTAGTTTCAGGACACAGGATTTGTGGTTGTTGAAATTATTTTTCCCCCTTTTTCTCTTTTTTTTCCTAAACAGAAAAAAGGAATACATCGTTGTACAAAATGCAGGCTGCAGTTTTTGACGTGCAAGGAGAAAATGGATCATAAGACTCAACATCATCGAACATTTGTAAAACCTAAACAACTAGAAGGATTACCTCCTGGAACAAAAGTGAGTTGAAATATATTGCATTTTAACATTTTGCATGATAAAGAGAAATTAACTCCTGTCCGGCTTTATCTATTGAATATATTTTTAAATGACTTCAGATTTTTGCTCAGACTTTAATTTTAGGTTTTAATCTTATGCATAGAAGGAAAAACTAACCAGTGTTTTGAGTTTAATGATAGGTGTTAGGTTAGAGTAGTAGTCCTTTTTAAAAAGTACAACTCACTTAACTTTTCCTGGGTCACTGGGTTATTTCAGTATTTTATAGGCTGTTTTTGAGCTTTCAGTTGACAATGTATATGTTGATTTTAGCTGCTAAACCATAAGATGTTTGAGATCAGGAATCATGTGTTCTCAGCATCTGGTGTGGTGCCTTGAGTGCTATAGGTTCTCAGATGTTTGTTGCAGTTGTTATTACTAAGTTTATTCTGAGAAGCAAGTTCTACTGCTGGATAGCATTGTGTTTTAAGTGAGCAAACACATGTCTGACTGCATACTGATGATTGTAATTTACTTTTCCCTTTTTGCCTTATATACATCTGTTTTCTCTGACTTCTTTGTATACAGTCAGCTCTTGAATATTTGCTCCAGTGGAGGGAAACAGAGGCATGGATAATCCAAAGTGAAATAATCCCCAAAACATTTATTTTTGGCTTTGGGTACTTACCTTTGAATGTGGGTATGTCTGTTATTTGAATTAACTAAAACAGTATACAGCCATGCTTTGAAGACATGATAGCAAGAGAAGCTATCCAGCATCCTTCCCTGCAGTCCATTCATTTCATGCTGGGACTAGACATGCAGAACATTAATGTAAGCAGTGCAGTACTCTCTCATTTTTTCCCTTATTAATAATAATAATATTAATGATAATGATACTAAATGTTTTTATAGCTCCTTAGAATTAAACTTTCAGTGTACTTTTTCATACATTCGATTGTCTAATTCATACCACAATCCACTGAGGTTAATAAGGCAGATACTACCCCATATTATAGATGTGAAGAAGCTTAGAGAAGATAAGTTTCTTATTCAAGGTCACATGACTAGGCAGGTCTTTTGATTCCTGGTACAGTGCTATTTATTGTATGTTACTCCAGCACATGTATGTCATAGGACTTATCAACTGTTTCTCAAATATAGAAGGGTATAGTCAAATGATTAACGAGAATGTTGGTAGGCACTTGTGTTTTTCATTGTCAACCAACAGATATAATTAAACATTTTCTCATTCTGAATACTAAATGATGAACTTTGTATTAATTTACTTTAAGAAAATTTGGAATACTATTTAGCTCTCCACGCAGTATAATAAATTGATGTAACTCCTCCCATAACATTTGTAAGCATATATCTTGGGCACTGAGCCCTGGAAAGAGGAAATCGCATTTACTGCAGATCTGGTTTTTTAATAGTTGTTAAAGGGTAATTTAGGCCTTTCTAGAGTTATTTTTCAGACTTTGAGATTTAAATTTTGAGCTCTATGTTTGAATTTCCTAAAGTTATATCAGGGCATAAAAAATAGCTATGGAATATGCTCTTTTTATATTCATATGATTTGTATTAACTCCTAAGATAACTGCGTTAACATATAACTGATCAATACAAAAATGTAATATTACAACTGAATTTCATGTTTAATATCATTTAATGGTTTGAACATTTAGAATAAATGGGAGATTTACCTGATTATATGTGCTTTCTTGAAAATTCTTTATTTTTAACTATTTTTGTACCATGATATTTTAATATTAATATAATGATTAATTTCTTAAAGCAAATATTCTCTTTGTTTTTGTAGGTTACTATTCGAGCTTCAGTTGGACCTCTGCAATCAGGAGCTTCACCTACACCTTCCATTAGTGCAAGTGCTTCCACCCTTCAGCTCTCACCTCCAAGGACTAAAAATATAACTGCTAAAACTCCTGCAAAATCTAATACAAGTAAACCTAATATAATCAAATCCAACACAAGTAAACCTAATACAAGTAAGCCTAATGGAAGTAAATCTAAATACAAATCAAAAATCTCTAATATGCAAAAGAAACAAAGCACATTGGCTAGTAGCAATAAAAAAAGTAAAGTCAATACAGCATTGAGGAATTTAAGGTAATCTTTTATTCCTGATATACAATATAATTTAAACTTAAGTATAAAAACTTTATATTTAGTTAACAGAACATTAATAAAGCTCTTCCTTAGTATTTTTGTTTTAAAATATATTTTTATCATTTTTTATGTCTCCCTAAGGTATCGTCTGGGCGTTCACAAGTGCATTGAGTGTTGTTCTGAAATAAAAGATTTTGCAAACCACTTTCCTACGTATGTCCACTGTAGTTTTTGCAGATACAACACTAGCTGTAGCAAAGCCTATGTAAATCATATGATGAGGTAAGATGAATTAAATGTGTAAATTGCCATTCAAAATTATAGTTCAGCAAGTTTCTGTTTTGAAAACAAAGTTATTCTATTAGAAGCCAGTTTTACTCTTCAAGGAGCTAAAAGGATCTAACAATAAGGAACTTTTAGGATATTGCCTGGTCCTGTTTCTCAGCATAGTAACTCTAGAAATTGTGGGACTAAAATTGTAAGAAAAATTAAGCTAATGAAATTAGAATAGGTTTGTTAGGGAAATAGTTTTTCTTTTTTATTTTTTTGAGATGGAGTCTCATTCTGTCTCCCTGGCTGGAGTGCAGTGGTGCCATCCCAGCTCACTGAAACCTCCACTGCCTGGGTTCAAGGAATTTTCCTGCCTCTCTGCCTCTCTAGTAGCTGGAGTACCCTGCCTCCTGAGTAGCCACCATGCCCGGCAAATTTTTTAGATTTTTAGTAGAGACAAGTTTTCACCATATTGGCCAGGCTGGTCTCAAACTCTTGACCTCAAATGATCTGCCTGCCTCAGCCTCCCAAAGTGCTGGGATTACAGGCATGAGCCGTTGCAGCCAGCTGAAAAATAGTTTTTTCATGGAACTTTTTATTGTCCCATTGGTGTTTCAGTAATGGTTATTTTCCAACAAAATGTAAAATTTTAAATATGTTTACTAAAAAATCTCATCCTCTTTAAAGCAGTCACTTTGAGAGATTTTAAGGTTTTTCAAAGGAGTCTGTTTCTCTTTCTCTATTCCAGCTGTCTTTTTATCCATGTATCATGCCATCTCTACTTGCATTCATTCAGTGAAAATGAGAGACTATTCTAGTCATGATGCCACTTTTGCAGTTCTTTTTCATTAGTTCATTCAACTTAGATTATTTGAGTACTTACCATTTACACTATGTTAGGAAAAGCCTTCAGAGTCTGCATTACTTCCATTTAGGTCTTATTAGGGGAATAGTTTATTCCTTCAGAATATTGTATTTTTTTAAAAAAGGCCAAAGTTGTTTAGATGTAAACCTGATAGTTTGCTTATTCAAAGTGACTTTGTTCAATTAAAAAAAAAATTAGAATCAATGTATTATAAGTGAGTTTCTTGCAGATTACACCATGACTTCTCTGTTACTTTCTGGTCATTATCAACTACTGCTTTCAAGGATTCTTCTACCTTGTTTGGTGGCTTCAGCACTTCTCTCAGTTTTTCCCACTCTTGATGATCAGCCTGACCTCATGGGATCTTGCTTCTTTAGTGCCAGTATTTCACATCAACTTTTAAGTTCATATGCTGTCTTTTTTTTTTTTTTCTTGAAACTACAGTCCCATTAAATCTCTTTCTATCAACCGTTCATTCCTTTTGGATTTCCATTACCCCATGGTGTTCAGGGCTTTGACTTCTTTTTCCAGGCTAGTAGCACCCATCTAATTTTGTAGTCAGCCTCACTCTCAGGATCATCTGTTTTGATTGCAGCTTTTTGTCCTAGAATCCTTTACATTTTTAGTCATGCTCACTTGGCATAAAGCCCAGGGTGAGATTTAAACCTCTTCATTTTTTGAACTTTCTCTGTGCTCACTTCTAGACTATCAGACAGTGCTTGATTTAATCAACTCTGACTTCAAAAACTTTAACAATGCTTAGGTCCTATTTTTTTCTTTTTAAAGGCCTCTTTATTTTTACTTACAACATTTGTTTAATCCTTCTTCAGTACCCTAAAGATTATATTTTAGTTTCTCAGTTGTTAACCTGGCCTATTAATTAGTCAATTGTAGGTCATCCTTTTTTTTTTTCCTAAAGTTAACTCTTTTCAACCCCTTATTTCTTGTCTTCCTTTTTACCATTAACATTTGTAAAAAGTGTTTGCTACCAGCTTTCTTATGATTCATTTCTTTACCCTTTGAGTATTGCCCACATCTACCAACATTCCGCTTGTAAAGACTGTTATGAACTTACCACCATATTTACTCACTGTTTTTCATTCTTACTCCTCTGTGACTTCTTTAGTCTTTGATATTGTTGTCACTCATTTTTTTAAAACTTAATTTGTTTAATTTTCCTGATAGCCATGTGAAATTAATTAATTTAAAAATTTTTATAGAGAATAATTCATATTTGTAGAGTACCTATGATGTTTTGTTACAGCCATATAATATGTAATAAACCTAGGTAATTGGGATAGCCATCACTTCCAATATATATCCTTCCTTCCTTCCTTCCTTCCTTCCTTCCTTCCTTCCTTCCTTCCTT